TTTACCATTGAGAAAGATGTTGGCTGTGGGTTTGTCATATATGGCTTTTATTGTGTTAGGTAAGTCCCTCTATGCCTACTTTCTGGAGGGTTTTTATCATAAAGGGGTGTTGAATTTATTGAAAGCTTTTCTGCATCTATTGAGATTATCATATGGTTTTTCTTCTTCAGTTTGTTAATATGGTGTATCACATTGATTGATTTGTGTATATTGAAGAATCCTTGCATTCCTGGGATAAACCCCACTTGATCATGGTGTATGATCCTTTAACATGCTGTTGGATTCTGTTTGCCAGTGTTTTGTTGAGGATTTTTCATCTATGTTCATCAGTGATATTGGCCTGTAGTTTTTTTATTTGTGACATCTTTTTTTTTTGTTTGTTTTTCGGTACGCGGGCCTCTCACTGTTGTGGCCTTTCCCGTTGCGGAGCACAGGCTCCAGACGCGCAGGCTCAGCGGCCATGGCTCACGGGCCCCGCTGCTCCGCGGCATGTGGGAATTTCCCAGACCGGGGCATGAACCCGTGTCCCCTGCATCAGCAGGCGGACTCTCAACCACTGCACCACCAGGGAAGCCCCTATTTGTGACATCTTTGTCTGGCTTTGGTTTCAGGGTGATGGTCGCCTTGTAGAATGAGTTTGGGAGTGTTCCTCCCTCTGCTATATTTTGGAGGAGTTTGAGAAGGATAGGTGTTAGCTCTTCTCTAAATGTTTGATAGAATTGGCCTGTGAAGCCATCTGGTCCTGGGCTTTTGTTTGTTGGAAGATTTTTAGTCCCAGTTTCAATTTCAGTGCTTGTGATTGGTCTGTTTATATTTTCTACTTCTTCCTGGTTCATTCTGGGAAGGTTGTGCATTTCTAAGAACTTGTCCATTTCTTCCAGGTTGTCCATTTTATTGGCATATAGTTTCTTGTAGTAATCTCTCATGGCCCTTTGTATTTCTGCTGTATCAATTGTTACTTGTCCTTTTTCATTCCTAGTTCTATTGATTTGAGTCTTCTCCCTTTTTTTCTTGATGAGTCTGGCTAATGGTTTATCAATTTTGTTTATCTTCTCAAAGAACCAGCTTTTAGTTTTATTGATCTTTGCTATTGTTACCTTCATTTCTTTTTCATTTATTTCTGATTTGTTCTTTATGATTTCTTTCCTTCTGCTAATTTTGGGGTTTTTGTTCTTCCTCTATTTCTTTTGGTGTAAGGTTAGGTTCTTTATTTGAGATGTTTCTTGTTTCTTAAGGTAGGCTTGTATTGCTATAGACTTCCCTGTTTGGACTGCTTTTGCTGCATCCCGTAGGTTTTGGGTCATCGTGTTTTCATTGTCATTTGTTTCTAGATATTTTTTGATTTCCTGTTCGATTTCTTCAGTGATCTCTTGCTTATTAAGTAGTGTATTGTTTAGCCTCCATGTGTTTGTATTTTTTACTGATTTTTTCCTGTAATTGATATCCAGTCCCATAGCATTGTGGTCAGAAAAGATACTTGATACGATTTCAACTTTCGTAAATTTACTAAGGCTTGATTTGTGACCCAAGATATGATCTATCCTGGAGAATGTTCCATGAGCACTTGAGAAGTAAGTGTATTCTGTTGTTTTTGGATGGAATGTCCTATAAATATCAATTAAGTCCATCTTGTTTAATGTATCATTTAAAGCTTGTGTTTCCTTATTTATTTTCATTTTGGATGACCTGTCCATTGGTGAAAGTGGGGTGTTAAAGTCCCCTACTATGAATGTGTTACTGTCGATTTCCCCTTTTTTGGCTGTTAGCATTTGTTTTATGTATTGAGGTGCTTCTCTGTTGGGTGCATAAATATTTACAATTTTTATATCTTCTTCTTGGATTGATTCCTTGATCATTATGTAGTGTCCTTCTTTGTCTCTTGTAATAGCCTTTATTTTAAAGTCTCTTTTGTCTGATACGAGAATTGCTACTCCAGCTTTCTTTTGATTTCCATTTGCATGGAATATCTTTTTCCATCCCCTCACTTTCAGTCTGTATGTGTCCCTAGGACTGAAGTGGGTCTCTTTTAGACAGCATATATATGGTTCTTGTTTATGTATCTATTCAGCCAGTCTATGTCTTTTGGTTGTAGCATATAATCCATTTATATTTAAGGTAATTATCGATACGTATGTTCCTATTACCATTTTCTTAATTGTTTTGAGTTTGTTATTGTAGGTCTTTCCTTCTCTTGTGTTTCCTGCCTAGAGAAGTTCCTCTAGCATTTGTTGTAGAGCTGGTTTGGTGGTGCTGAATTCTCTTAACTTTTGCTTTTATGTAAAGGTTTAATTTCTCTGTCGAATCTGAACGAGATCCTCGCTGCGTAGAGTAATCTTGGTTGTAGGTTTTTCCCTTTCATCACTTAAAATGCGTCCTGCCACTCCCTTCTGGCTTGCAGAGTTTTGCTGAAAGATCAGCTGTTAACCTTATGGGGATTCCCTTGTGTGTTGTTTGTTGTTTTTGCTTTGCTGCTTTTAATATTTTGTCTTTGTGTTTAATTTTTGATAGTTTGATTAATATGCGTCTTGGCATGTTTCTCCTTGGATTTATCCTGTATGGGTCTCTCTGTGCTTCCGGGACTTGATTAACTATTTCCTTTCCCATATTAGGGAAGTTTTCAACTATAATCTCTTCAAATATTTTCTCAGTCCCTTTCTTTTTCTATTCTTCTTCTGGGACCCCTATAATTCGAATGTTGGTGCGTTTAATGGTGTCCCAGAGGTCTCTGAGACTGTCCTCAATTCTTTTCATTCTTTTTTGTTTATTCTGCTCTGTGGTAATTATTTCCACTATTTTATCTTCCAAGTCACTTGTCCATTCTTCTGCCTCAGTTATTCTGCTATTGATCCCTTCTAGAGCATTTTTAATTTCATTTATTGTGTTGTTCCTCATTGTTTGTTTGCTCTTTAGTTCTTCTAGGTCCTTGTTAAACATTTCTTGTATTTTCTCCATTCTATTTCCAAGATTTTGGATCATCTTTCCTATCATTATTCTGAATTCCTTTTTAGGTAGACTGCCTATTTTCTCTTCATTTGTTTGGTCTGGTGGGTTTTTACCTTGCTCCTTCATGTGCCGTGTGTATCTGTCTTCTCATTTTGCTTAACTTACTGTGTTTGGGGTCTCCTTTTCACAGGCTGCAGGTTTGTAGTTCCCGTTGTTTTTGGTGTCTGTCCCCAGTGGCTAAGGTTGGTTCAGTGGGTTGTGTAGGCTTCCTGGTGTAGGGGACTGGTGCCTGTGTTTTGGTGGATGAGGCTGGATGTTGTGTTTCTGGTGGGCAGGTCCGCATCCAGTGGTGTGTTTTGGGGTGTGTGTGACCTTATTATTATTTTAGGCAGCTTTTCTGCTAGTGGGTGGGGTTGTGTTCCTGTCTTGCTAGTTGTTTGGCATGGGGTGTCCAGCACTGTAGTTTGCTGGTCGTTGAGCGGAGCTGGGTCTTGGCATTGAGATGGAGGTCTCTGGGAGATTTTTGCCGTTTGATATTACGTGGAGCTGGGAGGTCTCTGGTGGTCCAGTGTCCTGAACTCGGCTCTCCCACCTCAGAGGTATAGGCCTGATGCCTGGCCAGAGCACCAAGACCCTGTCATCCACATGGCTCAGAATAAAAGGGAGAAAAAAAGAAAGAAAGAAAGAGAAAATAAATAAATAGAATAAAATAAAGGTATTAAATTAAAAAATAATAATTAAAAATTAAAAAAAATTTTAAAGTAATTTTAAAAAAAGAAAAAAAGAATGAAGAGAGGAACCAAACCAAAAAACAAATCCACCAGTGATACCAAGCACTAATAACTGTATTAAAAAAAACCCAAAAAAACGGATGGACAGAACCCTAGGAAAAATGGTAAAAGCAAAGCTATATGGACAAAATCACATGCAGAAGCCAACACATACACACTCACAAAAAGAGAAAAGGAAAAAATATATATATCATTGCTCCCAAAGTCCACTGTCTCAATTTGGGATGATTCTTTTTGTATTCAGTTATTCCATAGATGCAGGGTACATCAAGTTGATTGTGGAGATTTAATCCGCTGCTCCTGAGGCTGCTGGGAGAGATTTCCCTTTCTCTTCTTTGTTCCTACAGCTCCTGGGGTTCAGCTTTGGATTTGGCTCCGCCTGTGCATGTAGGTTACCTGAGGGCGTGTGTTCTTTGCTCAGACAGGACAGGTTTAAAGGAGCCACTGCTTTGGGGTCTCTGGCTCACTTAGGCTGGGGGGAGGAAGGGGTACGGATGTGGGGTGATCCTGCAGCTGCAGAGGCCGGTGTGACGTTGCACCAGCCTGCTGCGCGCCGTGCGTTCTCCCAGGGAAGTTGTCTCTGGATCACAGGACCCTGGCAGTGGCGGGCTGCACAGGCTCCTGGGAGGGGAGGTGTGGATAGTGACTTGTGCGTGCCCACAGGCTTCTTGGTGGCTGCAGCAGCAGCCTTAGCGTCCCATGCTTGTCTCTGGGGTCCACGCTGATAGCCGCAGCTCGCACCCATCTGTGGAGCTCCTTTAAGCTGAGCCCTTAATCCCCTCTCCTCATGTACCGCGAAACAAAGAGGCAAGAAAAAGTCTCTTGACTTTTAGGCAGGTCCAGACTTTTCCCCGGATTCCCTCCCGGCTAGCTGTGGTGCACTAGCCCCTTCGGGCTGTCTTCACGCCGCCAACCCCAGTCCTCTCCCTGGGATCCGACCTCCAAAGCCCGAGCCTCAGGTCCCAGACCCCACCCGCCCTGGCGGGTGAGCGGACAAGCCTCTCGGGCTGGTGAGTGCTGGTCGGCACCGATCCTCTGTGCGGGAATCTCTCCGCTTTGTCCTCTGCACTCCTGTTGCTGCGCTGTCCTCCCTGGCTCCGAATCTCCGCGCCCCCGCCCCCAGCAGTCTCCGCCCACGAAGGGGCTTCTTAGTGTGTGGATACCTTTCCTCCTTCACAGCTCCCTCCCACTGGTGCAGGTCCGGTCCCTATTCTTTTGTCTCAGTTTTTTCTTTTGCCCTACCCAGGTACGTGGGGAGTTTCTTGCCTTTTGGGAGGTCTGAGTTCTTCTGCCAGGGTTCAGTAGGTGTTCTGTAGAAGTTGTTCCACATGTAGATGTATTTCTGATGTATTTGTGGGGAGGAAGGTGATCTCCATGGCTTACTCTTCCGCCATGTTGAAGGTCTGTCTCCCCCTTTATTATATTATTCACAGTAATTCTGAAGTCTTTTTCTGCAACTCCATTTCCTTAATTATATCTGGGTCTGGACCTATTGACTATTTTACATCTCGAATATAAGTGATTACCTGTTGTTTCTGTTGTTGTTTTTGCTTGTTTAGTAATTTTTAATTTTATGTTAAACAGTGTGAATTCTTGTATGTGGGAGTTCTTGATTATATTATATACTCTTCTAGATTTTGTCATATTTTGCTCTGGCAAGCAGTAAATTACCAGCATCTACTTTGAATGACTTAATTTAAGGACGTGTGGCCCTGATCTATGCTGGTTATATTCTTACTCCTGGTTTTTTGTCCTCACTTGTAAGGCTGACCTTCCTAGACTAAAAGCCCTGTTTGTGATGGACTTTCTGTTCTAGTGGGCCCAAAATCCAGTCTGTGCAGCTTCTAAAATCTCTAACCAACCTTTCAGTATCACAACAGCTATTCTCTGGTATATCTCCCAGTGCTTCATAATAAACATGCAAACCTTATGTATTGGCCAATGACCAGAGGTATATATATATTTTTTAATAAATTTATTTATTTATTTTTGGCTGCATTGGGCCTTCGTTTCTGTGCACGGGCTTTATCTACTTGTGGCAAGCGGGGCTACTCTTCATTGCAGTGCGTGGGCTTCTCATTGCGGTGGCTTCTCTTGCTGCAGAGCACAGGCTCTAGGCATGCAGGCTTCAGTAGTTGTGGCACACTGGCTCTGTAGTTGCGGCTTGCGTGCTCTAGAGCACAGGCTCAGTAGTTGTGGTGCACGGACTTAGTTGCTCCACAGCATGTGGTATCTTCCCGGACCAGGGCTCAAACCTGTGTCACCTGCATTGGCAGGTGGATTCTTAACCACTGTGCCACCAGGGAAGTCCCAGAGGGAAATTTTAATGCATATTTTTGGCCTCCTTGTGTTGGCCTCTTTCTCTTTAGTATTCTGATCCTCAAATCCCACTGACTATGTAATCCTGAACTCTGATCTTTGTTTTCTTCACCCAGTGAGACTGTACTCTCTGATTGGGCTCTATTTTCCTGGCTAACAACAGTTTGGAAAATGCCTCAGTGAAAAAGCCAGTGAGTGCAGGGCTCACCTCATCTTCCTCACTTCTCTCAAGGATCATAGATAGCCCTGGGTGGTAGCTTTTCAGTGCCTAAAAATTGTTATTTTTTAAATTTAGAATTTTTTCCAGTTTTTATTGTATTCACAATAGGAGTTCAAATCTGTTCCTAGCTACTCCACGGTAGCCAAAACCAGTCATTAAAATTTAAAAACGTATCTCTTACAAGAGAAAACATATTTTTATTTTAATATGTATTTTCAATCAGATAATATAACATTTTAGCTATTTTTGAAATTTTGTATTTTAGTCTACAACCTTTTTCTCCCTAAAGACTGTAAGATGTAATGGAATAGAGGACAAGAACTCAAATGTTAAATGATAATGCAGAATGTCTGTTTCCTCTGAAATATAAAATAATTACAAGAAAATGTCATTTTAAAACTAGGTCTTCTTGGGACTTCCGTGGTAGTCCAGTGGTTAAGACTCCATGCTTCCAATGCAGGGGGCGCGGGTTTGATCCCTGGTTGGGGAACTAAGATCCCACATGCCGGGTGGCATGACCAAAAAAAAAAAACAAACCAAAAAAACAAAAGAACTAGGTCTTCTTATTAAAGATTAATTCTATGTGGTGAATAGTTGGCCCCAAACCATCAAAGTTCTTGAGAAGATAAATGACTGTTTGAGGCAGTCAGGGGCCTAGGAGGATAAAAAAAAGTGATAAATTCAAATCGGGTGTTTTGAGGAGTGTTTAATAAAATGACTGTTTTTTAAAACTATGTGGACAAAGAATAGGGAAACCACAAGAAGTAGTGCTGTACCTTGATACTAGTGAATCATGGCACTAATACCACCCTTAGAACAGAAGGAGCAAAAAGACAGAAAGGGCTGTTATGAGAGGAATTCCTTGACAGGAGCGGAGATCTTTAGTCAAGGGGCTTGCCAACCCATTTCACCCCACAGGAAGGAAGTCGAAGAAAAAACACATTCAGACTTCATTTTCCTCCTTTCTTCTAACCTCCTTCTGGGGCTTACCCAATTGAATAGAATGTCAGAGGACAAGGGAACTTGTTAATGTAATCCACACAAGTCCAGTCTTCCAGAATAGAGTAGGGTGGAGATAATAAATAAGGAGTAATCTCTAGTTGGGCAAACAAAGACTGTCCAGCACACCAATGACAGTTTTTCTTTCCCTTAATAATAATTTCAGCTTGGACTTATTGTTTTCTCAAATGAGATAATAAACTTACAACACACAGGTGTAATATTTGTTACACCTCAGTTAAGTAATTAAAGTGAAGTTTAATTTGGGAATATATTAATTATTTAAGAATTTATTAATTACTCACTGAACTAAACCATTTTATAAATTGAAAATGAGAATTACTATTTGCCCTATCTTGACTTTCTAGCTGATTCAAAGGCAAAGTTGTGAAGAAAGTTAAATCTGCCTTCTCCTTACTTTTGAACTCTTTCCACTTCCCGTTTATTAGAATCTCAGAGGTTTGAGGCCTGAGCACAGTGGGTCTCTTCCATTATAATCTACTCAAGAGTAGAAGACTCAGAAGACTTCCTATCCTATGAGGTCACTTAAAATACAGAGTTACTTTCACAATACAAGTAATCTATACAGAATATTTTGTATTTAAGAAAAAGATTTCACAGGAGGACAAATCCGTAGAGCCAAGGAACCCACTTTAGTGGAGATTAAATTGTTCTCCAAAGTGATGATAATTTGAGTGTTGAGACATCGTATTAAAAAATATATCACTCAGTGATTCTTCTGATTATGTGAAAAGTTCCAGTTTTTTTTGTAGCCTTTAAGACTTCTCAAACAGTTTCTGATTTCCCCCTTTAAATAAGGAGACAGCATTCCACAAGTTCAGAATCATCAGGGTCATAGCCATTACCAAATGGAATCTATTAATTAATAAAGTTGTTTTGTTTTCGTTGTATTAATTTCTTTACAATTACAGTCTATTAAGAGCAAATGCTACCTGTTTAAAATGTATTGAACTGATATCTTTTCTTTCTTTTATAGATGTAAGTAAAATAAATCACTTTAAAGAAAATTATTGAGTTAATAATAGTATAGGCAGAGGGCTTCCCTGGTGGCACAGTGGTTGGGAGTCCACCTGCCAATGCAGGGGACACGGGTTTGTGCCCCGGTCCGGGAAGATCCCACATGCCGCAGAGCGGCTGGGCCCGTGAGCCATGGCCGCTGAGCCTGCGCGTCCGGAGCCTGTGCTCCGCAACGGGGAGAGGCCACAACAGTGAGAGGCCCGCGTACCGCAAAAAAAAAAAAATAATAATAATAATAGTATAGGCAGAATGAATATATATGGCAAACCTTATCAAGGTGATAATGAATGACTAAGGTTTCAGGAAAATGGACAAGGTCTTCATTTTTGTTCTCTGTTGAATTCTCAAGTCTTTGAACAAAGTGTGGTACATAATCAAAAAATATTTGAGTGACTGAATCTTTAATTGGAATTTAAGACAGAGTAGCAAGTAGGAGTGTCCTTGGAGAGACATTCTCAAGCTATATCATATAGGCCAATCCATATTTTGTCTACCCAAGAAACTGATCCTACTGTTAAGAATGTATTGCTTATCTTCAAAATCTGTCTCATTATATAATTAAAATTTTTTTGAAATATAGCAAATTTGAAATTTGAGCTACTGCTGAGGACTTTTGAATACTTTTGAAGCTTAACAAGTAATGTCTTAACTGACTAGGTATATATAAGAGTAACAAAATATGAATTTCTTTATGTTAAAAAATAATGTCCTTAAATTATTTTATGTCCTTATAAATTATTTTGATCATTTGATTATTTATAAGGTAAATCCCTACATATTTCCATTACAGCTAAACTTTTATTACTAAACCACAAAAATTAGGCTGTTGACTACAAAATTTAATTTTATTTCTTGTGGTCATAAAATGATATGAAAATTAACTGCATGAGAGATGCTTGATTTATCTTTAATTAGGGATAAAAACATCTTTAAACGAGGAAGACAAAAGCCATTATAGGTCATTAAAGAGCAGTGAATTTTCAGGACTTTAAGTAAATTTATCTGTTAAAGAATTTTTTTAAAAAGAAAAAAACAAATGGCAAAAATATAGCCTATATTGTAAATATATATTTTACTGAGGATGCTATCAATGGAAGGATCATTAAAACAGTTCTGTCTTTCCTTTTACTCCCTGTTTGATAGAGCTAACATTTCACCAGTGGTTTGATGAGTTGAACTCTCTCTAGTAAATGATATTAAATATGAGATCTTTCTTGCAGCATTAATGAGAAATTAACTTTTGATTGTGTTAGGCTACTTAGATTTTACTGTGGTTCTTTCCTACAGCATTGCTAAGTCTATTTTGACTAATATAGTATATGTAATATAATCTAACATATTATAATAGTCATAGTAAAAGGCTTGGCCCAAAAGAAACCTCATATCCATTAACATTCACTTCCAGTTCTTCCCTCCCCTTGGCCCCTGGCAAGCACTAATCTACTTTCTGGCTCTATGGATTTGCTTTTTCTGGACGTTTCATATAAATAGAATTGTACAATATGTGTCTGTTTGTGAATGACTTATTTCACTGAGAATAGTGTTTTCAAGGTTCATTCATGTTGTACTTCATTCCTCTTAAAGCTGAATAATATTCCATTTTATGCATATATTACATTTTGTCTATCCATTTATTAATTGATGGACATTCGTGTTGTTTCTAGCTTTCGACTGTTATGAATAATGCTGCTGTGAACATCTGTGTACAGTTTTTTGTGAGTATATATTTTCAATTCTTTTGCGTCTTTACTGAAAAGCGGGATAGCTGGGTAATATAACTCTAGGTTTAATTATTGAAAAAATAAAACTCTTTCCAAAGTATCTGCACCATTTTTCATCCCCACCAGCAATGTATGAAAATTCCTATATTTCCACATTATCGCTGACACTTGCTATTGTCCATCCTCTTGATTACAGACATCTCAGTGGGTGTAAAGTGGTGTCTCCGTGTGGTTTCGATTTGCATTTTCAGAATAACTAATGATATTGATCATCATTTCATGTGCTTCTTGGCTGTTTTTACATCATCTTTGGAAAAGTATCTTTTCCAATCTTATGTCCATGCTTTAATTGGGTCATTTATCTTTTAATTGTTGAGTTGTAAGGGTTCTTTATATATTTTGGATACTAGTCCCCTATCAGATATATGCTATACAAATATTCTCTCCCTACAATTGAATTTTGATTATAGAAAAACCATTTAAAAAAATAGTGTGGGTGGTGAGTCGGGAGAGATGAGGAAGGAAGAAGAAAGAACAATTATGACGTTACTGGGGTAATTCAAGAGAGAAATCATGAGGCAATAGTGCTATCGAAATGGAGAGGAAATAGGAGAAATTTAAAGAGTTATTTTCTATACGATTTGTTAATAACATAAAATAGGTAAAAGAGCTGGGCTTTGCTGTGAGACAGTCTAAGTTGTAATCCTTGCTGCTCCTCTTCCTAGCTGTAAAATCATGGTGCTTATGGTATCTGGGGAACATAAGTGGTACACACAATTTTTATTTAAAAAATAGCCCTTAAATATTATTTTTTCATTCAAATTTGTTCAAATAGTGACGTTTGTGGGACATTTTAGAAGAAAAAAATTCTGGAGGACCTACGAGCAAATTTTAATGAAAGTTATGTTTCCGGGAATTTTGGAAGAAGAATTGTATGTTGCACCTATGTTCCCCTCTGACTAGTTGTATAATCTCGGGCAAGTTAATTAAGTATCTTTGGAAATCAGTTCTCTCATCGGTGAAATTGGATAATATTTCTCCCATACAGAGTTAGAAAAAAGAAAATGTGGTGGTTAATAGCATGATTTTTGAATTCAAACTACCTGCATTCAAGTTATGCCAGCTATGATCTGTGTTAACTTTAGGAAATTATATAACTCACTGTGCTTCAGTATCACCTGGGAAAAATGGAGATAATATTTAACATCAAAATGATGTTATGAAGATTGAACTAATACAAATTAAACTCTTAGTGTGGTATCTGATAAATATAATTTCCTAATAAATATTAGCTGTTATTGTAAATGTTACATAAAATAATTTAAGTGGCATACTGATTTTAGAGCCTGGATATAAAGGGTAATCAATACATGCTTGGTGCTATCATTATAATAGCCATTATTATTAAATGTCAGAGAAAGAAAAAATTGAGAAGTTGGGGATGAATACAGTTTCTAGTTTGATAAGGATCGTGCTACCATTCATCATTCAAGAAAAGTAGCAAGCCAGACGGAAAATAGACATTAATTGAGGATATTAAGTCAGATAACTTGGTAAAACGTCCAGTAGATAACTGATCATGTTCATTTGAGCACTGGTTAAAGGTAGGACTTGAAGACTGCTTAAGATTTTTCCAGACTGAAAGAGTTTGTCATTCTAGGCTTTAGCTGGAGAGAGGGCTGATGTAATGAGAAAATACAGTATGTATAGATCCTTGGTTCACTTGGAGGAAGTAGAGGATGGGAGGAGAGAAGCACAAAAAAGGAGCTCAAGGTAAATTGAACATAAAAATGATGTGAGAAAGTAGGAAAAAGTATATATTGTTTGTAAAGGAAAAACCTCAGTCATCCATCTTGGATTTATAAGTGAAGGAGTCTGTGTCTAAGGGAGTTAAGTGCAGTAATTATAAGTTATGAATTCAAAAGCAATTATTGGCTTTATAAGTTTTCTAGATTTTTGTTGTAGGGAAGAGAAATATACTTACAGTAATTACATCAGTCAGGGTCCTGGTAAGACACACATGTGGGTTCAACTTGGCCAAGAAGGAGAGTTTAGTAAAATGACTCTTTACGGTGGGGAGAGCATGGCTTAGAAAAATCAAGGGGTGATGCTCTATGTCCGTGCAACTAACAATCAGAGTGACATTACTGGACCTAGGTTGAAAGAGGCCGGGGAGGTAACAATGATCAGATCCTGGAGAAGGAAGTTTATAGAAAAGGTGGTGTGTCAGCAGACCACAAACAACCAGAGGTGATGTCACATGAAATATGAAAGAATGAATATCTTTATGTGACTCTCCCTACTCACTCTCATCTCCTGGCTTTGTTTCATTGGCTGAAGACTAAGCCTGTTGGCAAGGGAATCATTGATGCCTCCTGGGTTCAGCACCCTGGGACACAGAACAGGGTGGAAAAAGATGGAGAAGGTATCTGCAGAGACACGCAGAAGGTAGTCAGCATAACAGTGGAAGCAAAACATAAGTGAATATCTAAAAAAAATTACTGCATCACACAGGAGAAAATTAGTTAAAATAAAATATAAAATAATGGTTTAAATGAGGTTTCATCTTAGGCTTAGTTTACTTTATCATACATCTCTGACCTGTCCCACAAAAATAAATTCATGGGAAGGTTTAATCAGAAATATGAAAATTACTTTAGAAAAAAATTAAACTTCTTAATGGCTACATAGTAAGCCAACAGACTTTAAAATGTTGCTGCATAATAACCAACTTGCTGTGATTGTCCAAGCCCTGTGGGGTTCAATATGAGTGCTATGAAGTGGAATGAAAGGATATAGTGAAACAGAGTTCCTCAATTGATTTTAATAACCTTTGAAATTAGAAATAGATGTTCTCTAACAAACAGCTTAAACTTCTCACTTTTCAATTAAAAACTCTTACGCTGTAGCTTTTCAAACAATTTCTGGTATTAAAAGGAAAGTGGATTTGTATATACACCTTTCTCTCATTTTAGTTGTACATTATCCATAACCCATTTTCTAATTTAAAAAATCATATTCCATAATAATAATGATACTGAAAAGTAATAAGGATAACAATTAAATTTCTTTAAATTTCAGTTGAATTTAGAAACTTATTTTTTTCTCAGTATCTTAAAATTCTTTATATCAATCTAGCATCACAATTGTGAGTTTTTTCCTTACCAGTGTGATAACTGATTGTGTGTGGCTTATTGTCCATTCACAGTTACCACTGGAGATGTTGAAGCAGAAAGAGACATCCAACAGAACCATCTAAGTTTCAGACACATTGTTCCCTGCCTCTATTACTAGTAGCAACCTTATCTCTTTATGATAATCAGGTCTCATTACTCTTCCCAGTATAGTAACTTTCTCTTTGCCTGCTTGTCATTTGGTACCAAAATGTCCAGGTGGTGACCACAGCTGTAGGTTTAGTAACAAACACTTGCTGTGTCCCTTGATAGAAGCATTCCATCCCATACCCCTTCCCAAACCAGTGCCTCTAATCCAGTGGAACCTAAAGCTGTGGGAGAGTTGAGCAAACATTCCCCAAGTGGTTTAGTAGGAGTGATGATGAGAGAGTCTACCCCTATTCCCATACCTTGGATCCAGCCCTATATATTCTAGCTTTTGAGAAAATATAACCATATAATGGCTTTTGGTTTAAAGTATATACTGAATCTTGAAGAACAGCATCCCAACCCCCAGCCTCTCAGAATATGATCCTCAGACTGAAGACTCAGCTGGGCATTTAAGAGGCCATTAAAAATTTTATTAGCTTGGGAGCTTTTGGGTGATAAAGTATATAGTAGGACGAGAGGGGTCCATGGTCATATGCTCTCTGCTGTACCTCCTATGCCATATGAAGGGTCCTCAGCATCAATTACAGCTCAACCCTGTATCTAACAGTCCTTGAAGAACCTGTTTTCCACTTCCTTCCATGTGCAGCTATATAGATACATATCATGGATCCCTCTGGGGCAGACTGGGAGAATACCTGCTATACCTGCTGTGGTGTTACAGGGTCCTTCCTTAATGGTACCCACCATCCCTTTCAGTTGGGAATCAGAAATAGCTTAGGTCTAGAAACTGAGTAACAGATCAATGATTTTCCCACCATTGCAGCTGACATCAGCCTTCTTGACACATGCTCTTGATATTTTGGGGTTATATAAGTCAAGAAGTGCTATTACTGGCTGCTCCTCAATCTTGCTTCTAGAACTACCATGATACATAAGCCCTTCTTCTAATCATCAGCATGGGCATCTCTTTGCCAGAAGAATTTTTCTGGCTTCTCCACTTTGCCCATGCAGATTGGAATGCAAGGGAACTAGTGCCCGCCTCTCACCCCCCCATAACATCCTTCAAACAATGACTAGTGGGAATTTGTAGATAGATACCACTGCCCCCTCAGGTTTTCATTGAATAAGTTTGAACTGTGAGACTACTCTGTGTTAGATCAGTCTCCAGGTGACCACAGTAGTAAATTTTCTTAGTCGACTTTGCTTCTCTTGTCTCATTTTTCCACTATGCTACGTGTGCTACCTGGGCTCACCTTCCAGTACACTAGTTGCACTCAAATCCTTGTTTTAGGGTCTAATTGGTGTTGGGGGGGGGAGTGAAATTAAATGCCAACAGGGTCCCATTTCTGGTGACAAATAGAATGTGATAGTGCCTAGGATGCTGTAGTATCACTAAGACCTTCACCTGTGGTGAATTGGGATGGCATTCAGGTGGAAAGTGATGCGTGGGCTTATATAATATTACTAGCACTTGCGAGATATGGGGTATGATATAAAGATTGTGGAGTTTGTTGGTTGGTGTAAACTGCCCTAAAGGTATGGAAAGAAGAAAATAACAGCTTTAGGTCATCCAATTCTTAAATCAGTGCATAGTGGAACAGCTCAAAAGTATTTAAAGAGACCTTCACCTCCTGTAAATCTACTGTATGACATTTCTTTCCATCTTGGCCCTGAAAAAGTTCTAAAAAATACCAGTGGATAACCACACTGAAATGTAAAATTTGTGATGATGATAAGCATAAGCCAAAATAATGTGAAACAAAAGATCACATGTCAATAAATATGGCTAGGATAACACTCCTAACTCTGTTTCACCCATTATGAAGATATAAAATAATCATTTTCTCTCCAAATATAGACTCAGCTTTACACACATGAAAATTTTTGTAGCTTCCCTTTGCAATTGTCCGTTCTTGGGTAATTCAGAACCTAGAAACAGCATTTAGTTTTTCTGATTGATAGATGACATTTTGTATCTAGAAATTTTTGGAATTTAAACAATGTTCCCTCTAAGAAATATTTCCAAGTTACGGTGAGAACACAGTTCTTATAAAGTGACCTGTAATTTGGCCTCAGAGCCTTTGCGACAAAAATCCTACACGCTTGTTAAATTTCAGTATGATGAAAACTAATAAGCCAACAATTTGCACAGGGTAACTGAGAATCCTGCATCTTTTTAAAATCTGTAACAGCATTTGAATGAATAAAAGTTAACATTGGAATCACTTATACTTTTTCTTGTAAAAATTACAGCTAGTTTTTATGTTTCATAATATGTTTTCTAAAAAAGAATGTGATACTCTAAAGATAAGCATCGATTTATCATAATAACTGAGTGTTTATTAAAAAGTGTTAATTTCGCCATCTGTTTAGGTCATCATTGGTTTCTTTCATCAGTGTTTTACAGTTTTCTGAGTACAAGTTTTTCACCTCCTTAGGCAGGTTTATTCCTAGGTATTTTATTCTTTTTGTTGCAATGGTAAATGGGAGTGTTTCCTTAAATTCTCTTTCTGATTTTTCGTTGTTGGTGTATAGGAATGCCAGAGATTTCTGTGCATTAATTTTGGATCCTGCAACTTTACCAAATTCATTGATTAGTTCTAGTAGTTTTC